CGGGACACTCGGCCCGAGGGCACTCGCCAAGCGGGACACTCGGCCCGAGGGCACTCGCCAAGCGGGACACTCTGCCCGAGGGCACTCGCCAAGCGGGACACTCGGCCCGAGGGCACTCGCCAAGCGGGACACTCTGCCCGAGGGCACTCGGCAAGCGGGACACTCTGCCCGAGGGCACTCGCCAAGCGGGACACTCTGCCCGAGGGCACTCGCCAAGCGGGACACTCGGCCCGAGGGCACTCGCCAAGCGGGACACTCGGCCCGAGGGCACTCGCCAAGCGGGACACTCGGCCCGAGGGCACAAGCTGCAGGCTCATGCTAGTAGCAGTATGGTTTTTCAGGGTCGCCGGTTCCTGGGTCGGGGGTGGGGGGGGCCTCCCTCCATATGCATGCCGCGGCGGAAACAGACAGACACATGCTCTCGCGCGCATATGACCAAAAGCCGCACACGCCGCTCCGGATTAAATGAAGCACGTAAAACGTTATTGAGGACCAAGAGGGAGGGGACACATGAGGGAGCGATGCAAGGGGAGGAGGGGAAACGGGAGTCAGCCCACCCTGCATTCGAGTTATTAGCCCGGGGGGTGGGGGGGGCATGCAGGCAGGCGGGCTGCGCAGCACACCTGCAACTGATTCTGCCGCATTATCCAAAAGTGCATCTTAAGCTGTATTTAGGGAACTCCAGGAAAGAGCACAGGCGAGAGAGAACATTTGGAACATTTGAGATCACATCAAAGGGACCATAGGACCACACCGGCCCACTGCGGGGGGAGGGACAATAAAAGCCAGAGAGGGGGAGTGGAGGTGCTGCGATTAGACACGGGAAGAATTTACTGGCGCTTCAAAACGACGTTTTAAATGATGGTTGTCTGTACTTTTTTTTCTCACATTACTGCAGACTGTATAACTGTACAATTAAATACGGCTTTATACAGCCCTGGACAGGTTTATATATTTCTTGTTGTTCTTATTCGTCGAGTCCAGGGCGACATAAATACCCAAAGCAGAGATGCATTTAGCTCAGGAATAGTGGCGCCCTAAGGAATCTAGGGAATCCGACATGGTAAGAGAGGCGTGGCGGTTCAGCAGAAGGTAACGGGACTAAAGGGACAAGCTGTTGCACCCTAGGATGGCGCTTATTGGTGAACGAGCGAGTCGTAAACCAGGGTGTGGCCCCAACCTGTGGGTTGGAGCACTTGGCGTGCAGCGGCTCCAGGTCCACGTGCAGGCAGACGACGAAGGCGGCCTGGGCGCGGTGCGAGGTGACTGCCAGCGTGGAGGTGCATCCCATGGGTTCTAGCAGGCCGAGGGCACGCTGCTGGCCCAGCAGGGTGTACACACTGAACTGCGTCAGGGTCACTGTCCAGGGGAAGGCGTCACCTAGGGGTGCACAGGCAAACAGGGAGCTGATGAGTCTGCTTTACAAAAAAATGCCACCGGGTCCATTTTCAGAGAGACACTGAATTATTCCAACTTTCTACGAGACAAATCAAAACACAGACGCTGGATAGGTGACCTTCACACTAGAGCAGGGCTCTTCAAATCTGGACCTCGATTCCAAATCCAGGCCGTGTTTTCAGTTTTCCCAGGTAGTTAGTTTAATATTTACTGATTCTCATTGGCCAATGGCTTCACACCTGACTCACAGGCAAAGGAAAGTTTGGAAAATCAGCAGTACTTGGACCTTGAGGACCGTGATTTGAACAGCCCTACACTAGAGCACTGAAGGGCCAGCTTCTGCCAGAGAAGAGACTCCAATTACAAATCAGGAACAAGTAGCAGAACGAGTTCCTTCAGGCTGCCCGCCCAGCCTGCTAAACTCTATGGCCGGCCCATCGCAGTGAGGACCTCCCAAGGTTGGGGGCCCTGAGGACACCCCAAGGTCGGGGGCACCGAGGACCTCCCAAAGTCGGGGGCACCGAGGACACCCCTTTCCCTTGTCCCCACACACTCCATGCTTTGAACTGCATAGCTAAACATGAGAGACTAGACAGCCTTCAAAGAAGGGGAATGTCTGACTAAGAGCATGGACCATTCGCTTTTACGGTGGCGCTGACAGTCGTCTGATCTAACTGGCCTTTATTTTCTTTTCTTTTTTGATTTATATGTCCAGTTCTGATGTCACAGTAAAACAGAGGCTATTTCAACTAGGGGTGGGTCTGGACAGACTGCACCTGATCCCGTTTTATCATGGCACATGTACTCGTGTGATTGGCATGGAACGGTCCACCTTTTTAAGTGTGTAGGGGTCCCACGAAAGGAGAGCATAGCTGGCACGTATTCACGTATTTACGCGAGAGCCAAAACATGTACCGCACAAAGAAAACGAACATGGATGGTGACAACATGCTGGAGACGGGCCCGGTACCTTCTTCCAGGATGGGCCGGGGCACCACGAAGGGCACCTCCTGCAGCGGCTCCATGTGGCGGTGGCCTGAGCTCAGCACGCTGACCTGCGGCAGGCAGACCACCACCGTGCCGGGCATGCTGGCCTGGCTGTGGTACCAGCTCCGCACCGTGCCCGGGATGTCGCCACACACGATGGTGCTGGGGGAGGGCAGGCTGTCGTTGGGGAGGAAGACGCAGCATGACTGCAGCTCCACCTGGGGGGCATTTGGGGGGAGACATCAAAAAAACAACAAATAACCAAGATACATAAAGATTAATGGCCTGATTAGCGCCACAGAGAATCTGCTGCACAACGTAGCCTCGGATTCAGAAAGACGACTTCCAGAGCTGCTTTTAAGGAAAAACACAGACCACCGGGAAGGTGAGCAGGAAGGGAGGGGAGATACAATCATGGTGCCACTGAGCAACCGTTTGGCAGGCCGTCAACAGCTGCCCATGCAAGGAGAGATCAAATGACGGGCAGAGAATAAGCAAAGCGCCAGTCCAATAATGGCGAAGTGCAGCCGAATGGCAGCAGATGTGTTCAATAATGCTCCTCCGATCTGAACTTCAGCATGGATGCGTGTGCTCACACACGCACACGCACCTGACACACGTGCACGGCCTCAGTCTGAAGTGGCTGTTTGGCTAACTTTCATCACGGATCGCAAAGGATATATCGTTACATGCTTGTCTCGGGCCATTTCCCGCACGCATTAGGCTTCAAAGCCGTGTTTGAAATCCGAGCACTTTCACGCGCCGACACGTAGGGCTCCGGCTCTTCAAGAAGGGAGCATGCACGGGAAACCATCAACGTCCAACCGATGTGTGTATTTAAAAGGGGAGGGGGGAGGTTAAGCGTTAAAGCAGACAGACGCGGGAAGCTTTTTGGGTCACAGCGCCGTGGGTCATACGACAGCACTGTCACACGAGCACAACCCCAACCAGTGACTACGACACAATGTGAACATGTAATTACCAAACTCTGCCATCCACTGGCCTGCTTTATAAAACGAACTTGGAGGTGCACTGCATATCTGCGTGGATTTTCCACAGAAAAGTGCAGCTCACCCAAACCTGTGGGAGGTGCCTGTTTCTACTTTAAAGGTTCAGTTACAGGCCTGACAAGCTAAATTATTAGTGGCTTTCCATCGTCCAAAACAATCGGATGCCACGTACGTCGTGACTGCCGACCCCTTCGACGTGACAATCCAGCTGACACGGGGCCTGGGAAGACCTCACGGGAGAGGAAGAGGCATCAGAGCATGGCGGGAACGGAGCGGTTCCAGGAAAGAACAGAGGAGAGAGGGAGGCACCTTCAGGCCTGGAAGAAGAGGCAGAAACATCTGCCCATGGCTCATCCCCCCCGGACTCTGCTGGGATGTGAAGTGACAGAGAGCGGAACATGGATCGCATTCATCAAACCCCAACTGGACGCAGAAGACACTTTTTATTATCATGAAATACAGCCTTAGCTGGGCTCCTTCGGCGAGGAGCGGCAGCGGGTGACTGAAAGCCGAGCTCGCTCTCCGCGGACAGCTGCGGCTCGGAGAACCGGGATGTGCGCTCACGCTCACCCTTCCTAGCTGCCGTCGGACTTCGGTTACTAAGTGTGCTTGATGTTTATAGAAACAGGAGCGTACGAAGACGTCACCCTGCTCACCACCGCGGCCGCAGCACCGTCATGAGTGCTACAACGTCCATGGGGGGGGGTGGATGATTTATTAGATAAATGTATTTACAAAACCGAAGCAATTACTTAAAAGAGAACAGAGAAGAAGAAGGTGAGACTGGCATAGGCCAGAGGTCTCTTCAATCTCCTCCTGACAGGGGAAGCCCATTTACAAACAGGCTGGGGTTCTCACCCTCTCCCTGGGGGAGTACGGCCTGGTCCAGACCCCCCAAAAGCCACGCAGATGTTCCACCGTTGTGTCATCAACGATGGGGACTGAGTCACCTAACAGGCCCAGGACGTGCCGAAACACTCACAGCGACCTCATAGCCGGCTCCTCTCCATCCACACCGAGTCGGCACCTGCCAAGCCCCCCCCCCCCGTTTTCTCCAGTGCCCAGCATCCCTACCGCAACCCTGCTTTGATTCACGGTGGAAAAAATATATTTTTGTGCAGAGGGGGGCGCTCACACTCAGATTCGGGGTGATGAACAGAACGCCAAATCAGAGCTCTGGAAATTCCCTCGACTTTAGGTTTGAGTTGTGCCGTCAGGCTCCATAGTTAACATGCTCTTGATCGGTTTCTCAACAGTCATTTTTTTCCAGTCTTATTTTTTTCCCCAGTCATAATCAGGGTTTCCGTCACAAACTTCTGATTTACCCTGTATATCTTTGAGCAGAACGGGACACTAGACAACTTTAGCCAAAACATGAAAGGACTTGAACAGTCTGGCAAAAGAAGCCAGTGAAAGTTGGTTTTACTGCACACTTAAAGAATGGAATATCAAAAGGACCCCCCCCCCACCCAGAGTTAAAATGTCCTGTGAAATCAAAGAACAACATGAATATGGGTTGGAAATGACCCGTGCAGTACAAATAATAAATAAAAAGAACTGAACCTATCTGAATGTTTAAATGGTTTTAAGCATCATTTGTGCGATGGGTGCTGCACGGCGGTCCAGAAGGGGGGGAGGAGTTGAATCGGGGGTGATTTTTCTCTTCATATTACATCATGTCCTGTCAAAGTGAAACAGAATCCCTTAATATAACAAACCAGTTACTGTCAACACAGGGGCCCAGTTCAGGACATACCCAGGGCCCAGTTCGGAATTTACACTGTGACACAAGCCCGAGGGAGTAAAAGAAAGAAAAAAAATAGAGGAAAAACATTGGCAGGCCAGCGGGTCCCGATGGTGCCTACGTCTTGAAAATATCATTGGGCCCTCAGCCAAACCGTGCGAACTGAGCTTTAATACACAGACCGGTATTCCCACCCGGGAAACGGCATTCCGTTCCACGTCCACTGGAAACGTGCATCCATTCCGGGGTTTGCTAGCACACACACAGACCCTGTTCTCTACCTACACCGTAACTGTGCCGTCATCTGCAGTGAGCGAAAGAAAATGAAGAAACCAAAAAAAAAGGGTGGAAACGTAGTCAATGAAAGATTCAAAAAGTGTTCTGGAAACATGCCAGAACACCTGAATTAACAACCCCCCCTTTCTGCTTTCACACAAGTGTTATCCTCATGGTGCGAGGGCTTGGGGCTTAACGCTTCCTGTGAGAGGGGCACCTGCAGCGGCAAAGCCATGGGCGGGCTGGCGTGGGGCAACACGGCCCTCCTTATGTTCTCGTCCTGGGGGTGAAATCACAGCTAAGCCCTTCCCAGGCAGCTGGGAAAGCAGAAACGGTTTGAGCAACCCCCCAACCATGAGAGGTCACGTGTGTGTGTGTGTGTGTGTGTGCGCGTGCGCAGAGGGCTCTGCTGCAACGGAGAGCTGACCCCTCCCAAACAAATCACATGACCAAGGCTTCCAAAGCTCCAGGTGAGACCATTCAGCTAAACCACATGATGGAGGTCTCTGATTACACGTTAACAACATGTAACTCCACCACAAAGCAAGGCCTTAGAATTGAAAACATCCAACAAAACCAAATAATCAAGGGCTCTAGATGCCAGAGAAGGATCGGTCAAAAAAAAAAAAAAAAAGTTATATGACCATGTTCTCTAGATTGCAGGATAGGACAATTCAGCTAAATCACATGACCATGGACTGCGAACCAAAGGTATGATTATTCAGTTCATGGCTCGTCCACAGCTGTTCAGATACCACAAGGCAAATGCCAAGGATAAATACTTTAATTCAAGAAAAAAAAAACTGCGAGTCCATCGAAAGTCACTCTACACAGAATCCTTACTAGACAGACAGAGTGTGAACAGCTGGTCTATTATCTGGGAGGTGGCCAATATTAATCTTCAGGATTAACCTCCATAAAACAATAGCAGGTGCCTCCTGATGATCTTGGTCTCAAGGGATTGGGGAGCTTCTGGATACTTTTCCAGGAAATGAACACGTCAAGACAGCTGAGGGAAAGTGGGCTCATTTCATTTTAGGTGGTATTTTGATGAAATGGAAGTCACCCCTAAAACATCTTCCTTCAATTTTTTTTTGTCTCTTGCCCAATATCACAGGGTCTAAATATAGTAATGTGATTTTGCCAGTTTTGGTTCTGTTTCCTTTCTTGCCCTTAGTGCCCCTCAACCCCCTCCCCAGGACCCCCATGAGTCCTGTCCGGCATCTCTTCTAGCCATTCTTCCACAGAAGGTCTTCAGGGAGTAGTAGACTATATTTCCACAGCCTAACTTAGATCTTTCTCCATCAATCCATCATCTTAAACATCATGACCTTTATCCTTTCAGCAATTTCTATGTCTAAACAATCAAACTAAGAATCCATTCTTCTTCAATAATCACTTATTCAAAAGGGTCCAGGTGCTGTAATGCATGAGACACCGTGGACCAAATCAAAACTCCACACATGTGGGGTTATTCTACATGCTGATACACCATCCAGGCCTGAACATCCCACCCAAAACAACTGTGGGACCTGCATATACAATCAGTTTCATTCTGCCGCCACTTCTGAGGACTCCCAGAATCCAAAGACTACATGTCACAGCAACAACACCTGAGAAATCCACCCGACTGCCGCCACTTTGAACCTCAATCTAAAAATTTGGACAACGTGAATTGGGACTTTTGCCACCTTGCTCATTTGACTTTGACTCCCTCTGTCGCCCCCTGGAGGATGGGCTCAACTTGGATTCTGGTTCCTCCCAAGGTTTCTTCCTTCTAGGGAGTTTTCTTTGCCACTGTCGCCTCTGGCTTGCTCACTGGGGGCTTTGGCCAGGGATAATGTAAAGCGCTTTGAGACGATGTAATGTTGTGAAAACGCAATATACAAATATAACTGAATTGAATTGAGCTGGTGATGGAGAGAGGAAAGGGACAGCAACCTGAAGGCATGTCTACAGAACAGGGGCCCAAACGGCTAAGACTTATGCCATTCAGCCATGTCTGAATCTCAAGGAAAAAAACACAGTGGCTCCAAAACTCCCAATACTTTCTAGATCCTTCTAGCACATTTGATAAGGACGAATGAGCCAAATCTGTGACGTCAGCAAGCAGGTCTAAGAGCCTGGAATCCAGTCGTGCTGTGAATAAGTGCCAAGCCTGGCAAAGGCAACGTGGGCGGCCCCTGGGGGCCCGCATTCCGCGACCCGGCTGCTTACAGGAGCTGACAGGCGCTAGCGGCCGCGCGGCCAAGTCGGATATCTGAACAAATAAACGCAGCATGACACGGAGGGGGTTTTGTTTGTTTCTGCTGGCGGGGGGTGTCTTCCACTAGTGCCGTGAGCTCACTGGGCCTTTGATAGCCAGTTTGTTGTTCCAGCAGCGACCTCCTGATGTCCACTGGGGGCAGGGTTAAAAGCCGCCCTGTGCAGCTCGTCAACCGGCTCTCTCACATCACCCCCAGAGGTCCTCCGTTCTGCTCAAGCACTGCGCTTCTCAGCCAAAGCCTCGGTGACACGGGTCACAGATCCAGCCGCGCGAGCTCACCGGCGCTGCTGTGGTTAAAGGCCCCCCTCCCCCCAGTTGCCACCACTCCGAACAGCCAGCTGCGCGAATCCTGTTACAAGGCCCGGATCCAGATTTCGATCGAGCGCTACCAGAGAAACCCAAACATAATCAGGTGGGAATGTTTTCCCTAGGAATCTGGTATTTGAGATGGATTCCCCCGCAAAAGCAGATCAGAGAAAGACCATCAAAACGGCTCAAAATCAATCCATTAGCCTGTTGCTGAGTCATCATGCTGATCATGCCCAAAGCAGCAACTGGCTGAATGTCATACCCAGTGCTGTGGTATGCATCAATGTCAATTTTGATTGCTGTCATTAAGATGATAAACTACCTCAGTATGCTTTGGGGCACTCTTTGGCAATGGCGAAAGAAATTCTCGTTTTCTCCTAAACAAGATGTTGGAGGACTAATGAGGGCCTTTTGATTATGGGGTGAGATCAAACTCTCACTCCGAGGAAATCAAACCATATTATTGGTATCTACAGTGCAGACCGCTCACACCTCACCCACCCACTATGAAGAGAGAAGGGGGACAAAAAAAAACATGTCATTATTAGTTACAATTCAGCAACAATTCTTTACATCAGCGCAAATTCTTATTTATTTTCGGTTAGATGCTCTGTTATTTATGCGGCCAAGATGAAAAGTTGCAACTGTAAATCTTGTGACAATCCGAAGATCTGACAAAGATGGGGTGCAAGAGGGTGGGGGGGGGGGTGCAGATGAAGTCATCCACGCTGAAGCCGAGGGGTCAGGTCCTGCTCATGGAAACCATCTGGCCGAGCTCTGCGAGCCACACCAAACACAAACGATCCCCGAAAAAAAAAAAATCCTATTCATTAATGCACAGCAGCTGCGAGTCAGAGTTACTTCATTGTTCCATGGCAACGCCTGCTCTGTTTCAGGGGTCCCATTTCAGTTTTGGTAGCAACGTTCTCCTCCGCCAGCGCTGAACACATTCATGTGTTAAATAGGAGGAATTATTGCGAATTCCTGAAATAGAATCACCTCCTGTTAGCTCCGGATTTTGTCAAGGCCGGTGACAGCGAGCTGGGGTGGCGGGGGGTACAGTATGAGCCCCAGGGCATTAAGCCGGACTGACGGAGAAGGTGACACCTTCAGCCACAGTTGGCACCAACCTCCAGGAAGCCTTTGGTCTTACCTCACTCTTCTAGCGCCCCATTTGGTTCAACACACCTGGTCATCTGCTGATTCCTGAACAAGCCAAACTGTCGTTTGACCGCTGTTTTTGGACAGGGCTGCCTCCGTGATGTTATGCTCATTACCTTGGTAGCCATGGAGGAGTGTGGCAAAGAGATCATACGGCTCCCTTTCACAGGGAGGCTCTGCGCTGATTAAGTGGGAGGGCCATGGAGTTTCTTCTCAGTTCTGGGTCAACGATCCTACTTCCAATCTACATGGGGTCGGTATTAATGATCCTCAGGCTAATAATACTGCGAACTTGGTCTACAGCAGGACAAGGATGGCTAGGAAATTACGGGCAAAGAGGCCAGGAGCAGAGATGAGAGATTCAAACATGGCATTTCATAAGGTGAATCGTAGAAAAAAACGCTTCTCTGGGACTCTTTCCAAGGAAGACGCCATCATTCTCAAGATATTGGCATATAAAGATTAACTCGGTCTTCCTAAATACATCTCCAACAGCCACACGACAGTAAACTCTCGGTCCTGTTTCCAAAAGAGGCCCGCATGCCAAGGCTGGGCACAGGTGCAGCACAAACGGCTCCAATCGGTTTTCCGTTCGCCCGTCCCTAAAACGACCAGACTACTTTAGGGTTGTGATCTCCAGGCCTCCAGGAGCAGCTTTTTGTTCGAGCCTCACCAACCTACATGTCAACAGGAACCGAGACCGGAGTCGCTGCACGGCACTGATCCGGAGTCAGCTATCACAGCCAGAGGGGGATCACCCCGCCCACAGACTCCGGACCCGCCACGGAGTACGCGTTTCATCACTGGATCTGGGAGGGTGGGGGGAGAATGTGTCACTGTTTTTATTCCTGCATATGAACCCAGGTCCTAATGTGGGTGGAACCGGTCCGGGCACACAGGGGAGCGTGTGGGACATGGTTCCAAATTTCCCAAGGCGGGGTGAGGTCTGCAGGCCACCTCAGAGAGCAAAGCGGGAACGGGGCAGCTTTGGGGATCTGACACATGACATTACGTCACCAGAGAAGTTGGGGGGGGGGTCCTCAAAGTCAGCAGTTTGTGCAGTACCTGAAGCGTGAGCCGTTTAACGCCGTCCCACACCCGACTGATGAGTTCCTTCATGTGCTCCTCTGGGGTGGTCCACGACTGCGGGCTGGTGGGCATGACCTTCACTGGCAGGGAGAGGGGCCGTGACTCTACAAGAGAAACACAGAGGGAGCTGAATTATAGCCTCAGAACACCAGAGCAGTTTCACTGACCCCAGAGCAGTGAAACTACAGAGCCTAGGAACACCTGCGGGTCATTGCTGACTCAGAATCAGCTGGGCTACAGAAAATCACTTCAGCAACCTAGTAAAGTTCATGCATTTAATGAGAAAGTTTAGAGAGGGAGTTCAGGACACCTCCATACAGAGTGAGTCTCTCAGTCACTGCCAGTATGCCGGGAACAGCCGAAGCTATCTGAAGCATCCCCCAAGCAGATACCAGAACACGCCTGAGTCCAGCGGCCAGAGTCCAGCGGCCAGAGTCCAGAACACAGTCACAGTGAGAAGGATGATGTCACACCTCCCATAAATAATTCTCAAACCTTCTGCTCACGAGTATCACTATTACAGCTGAGTGAGTTGCTACAGCAACCATGGTTTTCCAATAAGAGAGCACGGG